TGAAACAAATGTAAAACTAGAAGATATTTTTTTTTTTCAGAATTAATGGAATTACCTCTTGGATGACATTTGCCTTGTGTACAGAATCTTGCTCAACGTGATGTGGTGCCTAGACATTGGTCGAAAGAACAATCAAGGCACTTCGAAGAGCTTTGGAATAATAATAATCGGACATTTAATTCTAAACAATGTCTTGGGTTCTGCACATTAGGACTTGTTGATGAAGTAATCTAGTTGTTACAAATGAATATAATGAAGATAGCTTGGAAGCTTTAGATAATTGTGAAAATCCTGGGATTGAAGACGATCCACCAGAATTCGAAGAGGGAATAAAATCAACAGTGGATAAGTTAAAAAAGGTTAACCTAGGGACCGAAAAGGAACCGAGGCCAACCTACATTAGCTCCTTACTTAATGAAGAAGAATCTAAAGACATGGTTAAGCTATTGATAGAATTTAAAGGTTGTTTTGTCTAGAGTTATGAAGAAATGTCTGAACTGGCACCAAAAATTACAGTACATAAGTTGGGTCTACATTCGGCTGCAATTCCCGTTAAACAAGCTCAAAGAAGAATGTGTCTTGACATTGAGCAACAAGTCATAAATGAAGTAAAAAAATTACTAAATGCTAAATTTGTATGGGAAAAGCAATACCCCATATGGCTGGCTAGCATAGTACCAGTTAAGAAAAAAAATGGTCAAATCCGAAATTGCGTGAACTTCAGAGATTTGAATAAGGCATGTCCAAAGAATGAGTTTTCGCTTCCAATTCTAGAATTGATGGTGGATATTGCGTCATCTCATGCAATTTTTGTTTTTTATGGATTGGTTGTCTGAATATAGCTAGATTAAAATGACTCCCGAAGATGAAAAATTTATAGTTTTCCGAACACAAATTGGAGCTTATTACTATACAATAATGTCTTTTGGTTTGAAGAATATCAGTACAACACATTAGCGAGCAATGACAAGAATTTTTAACGACCTTATTCACAATCAAGTGCAATGCTATGTAGATGATTTGATCATCAAAAGTAAACAGAAAAAAAATCATTGTACGATTTGAGAATTGTTTTCGAGCGGTTACGACAATTTAATCTTTAAATGAACCCCATAAAGTGTGCATTTGGTGTGACTTCTGGGAAATTTTTAGGATTTGTTGTTCATAACCGCGAGATTGAAATTGATCCGGGGAAAGATTAAAGTCATCTTAGAAATACCACTCCCTAAGAATTTAAAGCAAATATGATCTTTTCAAGGGAGGTTGGCGTATTTGAGACGTTTTATTTCTAATTTGTCAAATAGTTGTCAGCCTTTCTCTGTGTTGACCAAGAAAGATGTCAAGTTTACTTGCGACAATATATGTCAACATGCTTTTGAAAGTGTTAAACAATACTTAATGACACCTCCTGTACTAGCAGCCCCGATTTTAGGTAGAGATATTTTATATCGCGACTTTAGATGACTTCATCGGAGCTCTGCTAGCCCAGGTCAATGATGAGGAAAAAGAAAATGCTAATTATTTTTTAAGTCGTCGTCTAATACTAGCGGAAGTAAATTATCCTCCGATTGAGAAATATTGTTTAACATTAATTTTCGTAGTTCAAAACTTCAACACTACATACTATCTCACAAAGTCAACCAAATTTCAAAGTTTAATCTGTTGCAATATTTAATGAACCGATCGACGCTTTCTGGAATGTTAGCGAGGTGGGTCATGGTACTATTGCAATTTGATATACCTTTTGATTCACTCCGACCTGTGAAAACAATAGATTTTAGCAGATTTTTTTGCAGCGCATCCGTTACCAGCTAACTCTCCTCGCAACGAATAATGAACTTGGAAAATTCCAAAACTCAGCATTGAGATGAACAGATAATGAACTTGGAAAATTCCAAAACTCAGCATTGAGAGTTATATCTTAGAAATACTATTTGCTTCATTGAATTTCGAAAATAACTGTTCCACATTGATACCCTTCTCATTTGAATTTCCTACAAACAATCGTGGAAATCTAAGCGTTGAATTCTTGAAAACGAAACTCTGATCTTAATTGAGAGTCTTCATACATGACTTCAATTGTCTAAGATGTAATTCACTATAAGGGTTTATCTTTATAGTGAATTAAGAACCCAAATTAATATAAACTCTATATAATCTGTGTATTAGATAGAAGAGTTTGTCGGATATAAATTTCTCAGACCAAAATAGAGTCATAAACTTTTAAGTTTAAATAGCTAAACATACCAATAAGTGATACTCTTATCCTTCGGAATGATATATCATTTATGATATTGTGCTCGACTATTTAAACTATTACACATATGAGGTATATCCGGTCTCATTATTTTTCAAAAATTAAAGAATATCATTTTCACAAAAAATAAAATTATATTATATATTATATTAAAATTAACATTAAAATTTTATTTTCAACGAAAAAATAGCCGACAGCGGGGTATGAAAACTGAGGAAATCACTGTATTGTTTGAAGTAGTCTCCTCGAGTTTTATTTTACAGGTTTAGAAGAGCAACGGTAAGCATGGGTTACCAGTAGATCAATGTCGACCACACACTATTCTTTCGACAACATAATGATTACATTATTATTCTTGTTGTTCATGTGGATGATATAATTGTCACTAATAATTATGAGCGAAAGATTGCTCAGTCGAAGGCAAGTTTGGGCAAAAAATTTGAGGTGAAAGAGCTTGGACAACCAAGATACATCCTTGGGACTGAGGTGGCTAGTAAAGCATAAGGATTTGTTCTATCTTAGAGGAAGTATGTGTTAGACTTGCTCAATGAGACAGATATGTTGAGATGCAAGGCTACAATTTTACCAATTTTGTCAGATATGAAAGTTTAGTGCAAAGGCGGGAGAGCTAGTTGATTGTGAGAAGTACCAGAGATTTTAAGTCATCTCATCTATCTAAGTCACACTCATCCTGACATATCACTTGCAGAAAGCGTGGTGAGTCGCAACATGCATGATCCGAGGAAGGGTCACAAGGATGCAGTATATCAGATTCTGAGGTACCTGAAGAGCGCACTAAGGAATGTGATGATCTTGAAGAAAAATAGGCATTTAGGCATTGAGGGCCACTGTGAATTTTAACTGGGCTAGCTATGCTGATGACTGGAGGTCCACATCAGGATAGTGCATGTTTGTAGGGGGCAACTTGGTATCTTGGAAGAGCAAGGAGTCAGTAGTTGTGAGGACAAAAATAGAGGTAGAGTACAGGACCATGGTTTTAGGAGTTGATGATGTTATGACTGAGAGCTCTATTGGTAGAGCTCAAAGTGGAACAAGGAGATAAAATGAAGTTATGGTACGACAACAACTAAGCAATCAGCATTGCCAACAACTGGGTGCAGCACGACAGATTCTAGCATGTGAAGATTGATAAGTTCTTCATCAAGGAGAAGTTGAATAGTAAACTACTAGAGATCAGTCATGTAGCTACTAGAGAGCAAGTAGCTAATTGCCTCACCAAGGGACTTAGTTTATTAGATCTATCTAGATTTTGTGACAAGATGGGCTTGGTGGATATCCTTTGCCATCTTGAGTGTTGAGAATTGTATATAGATTAGGGTTCTTTTTTTAAATAAAAAATATAGAAGAAGTCTAGGGATTTATTTGTAAAGAAAGTTGAAAGACTCTATATAAGCCCAAATTTTTAATGAATAGAGGTGGTTTTGCTTAAGCAATTACTTCAATTATTTCAAACCCTTATCTGCCATTATCTGATGCTTACAAATGATTGATGTCTGACATTTATAAGTAGCCAATATTCAACATCTATCTTCTTGATTGCCCGAGCTCCTCTTATATTAAGAGAATGACCAATAAAATTGTTAAATGTCACATGAATTTCAACATTTTGAGTCTATAATCGTCTGATACGAACAAGTAAACGGTGCCTAGCAGTTGTCTTCCTGATCATCCATACTCCTCACCTACCATGAGAATGACCAAGTACATTGTCATCAAATAATCCTTCCAATGATCGAGACACATCAACCACATACATCCAACGATTGACTTTTTGATTACTAGTCCTCCAATGATCGAGACGCATCAACCACATACATCCAATAATCCTTCCCATGATCGCGATGCATCAACCACATACATCCAATGATAGACTTTTTGACTCCAATGATAGACTTTTTGACTACTAGTCCTCCAATCTAGAACCTAACGAATTTTATTACAACCAAAAAATAAAATAACTTCAACAATTTTATTCCTACATTTTATTAACATCGTCTCTATTTATTGGGAAGAATGCTTTCTAAATTTTAAACTTGTACTAGTTGAAACATTTCAACTAGGCTGACTATGCCCCCACAATTTTCTCCCTTCTAGGATTTTCTATATAAAAGAAAGTCCTGTCTCTCTGCATGTTGCTCTGAATGTACCTATGTGTGTGCGTTATTGATAATGCTAAAATGATAAAATCCATTACCACCATGTATATTTGAGCAAACAACAAATATCACTATGTCAAATAAAACATCTTTAACAGGCTTAAATAAGAATATTGGATGCAAAGCATAAACACTGAACAATCTCAATACTACTCGAAATGCAAATTATTTGCATCCGTTGGGACTTTCCATGAAAAGATTAGCTAGCTATAATTGGCAAACCCAGCACACCAAGCGACATAATAAATTGTAGATAGTGGACAAAACTACAATGGTTACAAGAAGAAAAAGTGAAATTTACATACATACCACACAATTCTTACGTATTTATATATCTAACACCCAAACTTTGATACCAACCCTTATAACACCTTGCTTTCATAAACATATGCATCAAAAGGTGTATTTCACTTCCAAAAATGTGTATTTTTTATGCCATGTTAAAGATTTGAGTGTTATCCATGTAAATATGAATGTTGAGGTGTTAGATATGTAAATACATAAGAATTGTCTGGTATCTTCGTAAATGCCCAAAAAAATTAATAGGTTATCTTGCTTAAATCTACCTGAGGAATTAAATCTGGAAGAGCCCACTCTGCTTTTTCTAATGCTTGCAACCAAAATAAGTGCGCTCATCATAGTCCTTTGACAATTCCTATTCATCAGTTTCTGTGAAGCAGAAATTAGGGTAAACTAAGCACGACAACAAAAGAGAAAAAAAGGTGCAAATAAACAAGGAATAAGATTGTTTCAAATGGTAGAAGAAAAAGAACCCTTAACCAAACTTCCATTTGCTGACAAGCTAGTTTACAAAGCAGCTCAACCTAAAAAATCTACAAGTAATTCAAAAGTCTAAATTTGGCTTTTCAGCATATTTCCACATGTTGTCTGAGACAGTGTTCAAGACAACTACGAGTTGCGCTGTAATGATAGAATTTTTAAAAAAAAACCAATAAAAAACATAAAAACAAAATTTGCAAATTTTTAAAAAGGTTTCAAATATGGCAATCAGAAATGGCCTTATATATTGAATGAATTAAATGTGCAAGATATGATCCATTAGTTATTTAATTGAAACACGGAGCTAAGAAAAGCATAACTGTCAACTTTTCATGTTTAATGGTAATCTAAGAGGCATTAGCAAAAACAAATCAGACCCAAGATTAAACATAGTTCCAAGCCTATTTGGTTTAATTTTGATACCTATTTGGCATCACTTTTTTCATTATTTTTTTATATCTAAACAAATAAAAAATATTAAGAAAAACTAGAAAATAATTTTTTGGTGTTTTCATAATTTTATATCATGAACTCTCAATCATATGTCCTCAAACACCATGCTGGCCAACATCGCACCTACCTTTGGCCAACCTAGCACGCAATGATAATTATTGTTGCCTACCCAACTGCTGATGTTGCCACAACTATTGATGTTATCAACCTAAGAATCATTTCGACCACCACCATCGTGCCATTGCCTCATCATTACTGCCTCCCCTTATTCATCGCCGCCATACCACTGCTATTTAAATTGACTTATGTAATTTTCAATAAAAAAAAATTGGAGTTATATTCACATTACCAAACATGTTTTTATTCATATCAAATGATAAAGAAAATAAAATAAAATCAATAATGAAAATAAAAGGTGATCCCTAATAACACTCAAGTTATGGTTAACCCCCAGGTGTTAATCAAGTCCACGAGCATAGTCGGTTATAAAAGAGAGCATGAAACTAGCCATAAAATAAAAAAGAATTTTAGATATTATTTAAATTGCCACCACAAAAGGATGGGTCTACCACTTAAATATTTTATTGTTTATATATATATATATATATATATATATAACTTGTCCGCCCTTAAGTGGTAAATTGGTAGTCAGCTACGCTGTCAGTTGTAAGACCAAAGAAAACCATAAAAGCATAAAAAAAACTCGTTGAATTGAGCAATGGGGTGAAATCCGCTCGATTGGCCTTCACGCAATCTCAGAAGTTACGGTATCACAGAATTACCGTGATCGAAATCATTGAATCATTGATCAAATCATTTTTGGGGGATGTTCCCGTACCATTATTCCCTACAAGGAGAGGCTTATTCTTCTTCTCTTAAAGGATTTCAATGCCAGATTTTCAAGTATGTGAATCACCACTTCTATCTAACCATTTGGTCATGGGTGCACCGCTTAACTAAAATGAAACTTGACACTCAGCTTACTCCATAGAGCCTTCAAGAAATAGCTCAAAAATTTCTTATTTTTATATGAAGTAATGACACGTTGAACCTCTCTCGGTGGCAACCAGAAGGTAAACTGTCAATGAAGTTAACAAACAACTCCTTCGGCAAAAGCTTTCATTTTTTTTAAATCGACTGTTCAGACTCACTACCTTTTAGGACAACCAATGTTAGGGTGTGTTTGGAGCTGCAATGTGGTGCTGCACAGTAGTTTTCCCAATTTGACAAAACTTAGTTTTGTCTAAGCTCTCAAAAAGCTGCAGCTGAAAGCTTCATTTTTCCACTAGAACTGGCTATTTGCAATGGCTATCAAAAAGATGTGGTCTGACTTTTTTAAAAAAAATTATAATAATCAAAATAGCTTTTTGAGCAACGGCTTCTTCTTCCGCAACTTCACAGTTGTTTCTTCATATAAAAGCAACCGCCCCAACCGACACTTACTCTTGTTGGAGTCTCTCTCATGAGCTCAGCATGAATCATTAGCATCTCTCTCTCGTTAGCTGGAAGCTGGTATTCCTCTTTGACGCCTTCATTATCTCTTATGTCACTGTTCATTTCTTCAATTGCTCCCTGCTCCCTGCTCCCTGCTCCGCAAATGAAATCATCTTCATGTCTAGGCATTCTGATATAATGTGCCCAAAATCATGGTACTTAAAGCACTTCTCGACAGGTACAAATCTAAGAGTTCTAATGGGCTCCACCTTTTCTCAACACTATATTGGTTTCGCCTCGGGCAAGGTTTCTTTAGATGCCCCACCAGGTGTACTCTTGCTGACTGATCTTAAGGTTGAGCTTTGTCTATAAGTTATGAAGATCACCTAGTGATGTGTTGTTTATCCATCTTCAAATCTATGGTATGTACATCGAGTAAGAACTAATACATCTGCAATTGCACCACATTATTAATAGACGACCTCAATCATCCAAATCACCATGCTACTGTGTGTGCCTCCTGTTCCACCAACTCTATGGCTTATATGGCAGTGTTTAAAGAACATATAATGTCGATAATGTGAGGAAATTATTTAAGCTGTCTTTTCTTTTTCATCTTATAGACTTGGTGGCGATCTTACTCATCTTTTCCAGCCATCAAATATATTTCAAGTTCTTCCACCAAAAAAAAAAAAAATATATCATCATGAGCTTAATAAAATTCATTATAATGTTTGAAGTCACTTGATAAACTCGTCCAGATCTGTGCGACCATCAAAATTTAATAAATTCACATTTACTCCAAGATTTTAAGTTCTTTGATATTCCATGTCAAATCTCGATGTAAGGGATTCACTTCCTCCCTTAGATTTGGAGAGTTATTGGTATAGCTATGGGTGATCTTATCAGATTGTCTCTTCTCAGATGCAAGAAGTCTCTATTGCAGTTGAAGAATCTTTTGTTGCATATCATTCATCGTAAGTTCCTGAACATATCACTAAGTGTTTCTCCTTGGCGACATGTTATCATTTTCTCCCGATTAGGTTTTTGACAGATATAGGATTGCAAATATATGTTGGTCGAGAACTTAGATGTTGGTTGTACATGTCATCGTATAATTTTAGGGAAGCTAGAAATGTCAGATTTTAAAATTTAGGATTGAAGCTATGAATCGTGGTAGGAATGATATGTGTATTATGGGAATATTTTTGCTTTTTTAAATTTTGGACTTCGGGCAAGAAAAACAAATCCCAAAAATTTTATAGTTTGTCGACCTCAGATACCAAATGAGACGGTTCTATAGCTCATAGAAAATATTTGCAAAGCAGGTTTGACAGAGAAGTGGAGGAATAGTAGAAATGAAAATACGTGAAATGGACTACACTTGGAGGGGGATGGACGACGTCCGACGAATACCCAAGCTAAAAACAACAAAGCAGAGGATGAAATGGTGACATATGGAGATCGAGGAGGTTCACAATATATTCCTGCACAAGCTACAAAACCCCCACTTAAGAAAAAAATGGTACCATGGCCTTATGGTAGAAATCAAAGAAAAATCTCCAAAACACAAACAATAGTAAAAAAAATCCATTAAAACAGCAAAAAAATATAAATAATCTATCAGGAAAAAACCCTACTTAGAATTAGAATAAATATAAAATAAGCCATGAAAGGAAAGTGCCTCGTTGAATTGGGTGGTGAGATAGAATCCGCTAGGTTGCGCTTCCCTCGATCATGGAAGCTGCGGCACTGCGGAATTATCGTGATCAAAATAACAAAATCTTCGATCCGGTGATTTTTGTCGGATGCTCCCGCATTAGACCCTCACCCTTGAGACTTCCCCAATTTGAGGTTGTCAGCCCCACCTTTTGAATCATTATACATCCAAGACTGTAAGCCCTAGCTTTCATAACGTTAGAACTAGTCTACCGAGGAGAATCCTATGCACACTAAACCAAACACCACTTCATCTTATGCTTAGTGCAATTATTTGAAGTGAGGGTCTTACCTGTCATGCGAGACTTACCTACAACAACCCTGCTGCGATGGAAGGTTGGACCGGCCGTTCCAGCAAAGGGGCCTCTCGACCCAAGAGATTTGCCGACCAAAGGGAGAGGATCCTCCCTTTCCAAATCTGTGAATGCAATAGTTTACCCATTACCATGCTGATGATAATCTTCGTTGCAAAGAAAAAGCCCTTGAGGACTATGCCACACAACAAATTTTCCCCAAAGCACAACTCATATCATCTGTGCCTCGGGGTGCCATCCCCAAGGTGAACCTAATCTATATTGGATAACTAAACTAACAAATTCCAATACCTCCAAGAAAGAGACATCCACATCCTAATACCTCTAATTGCAATCAACCATGAACCATGCCTCTAGCCAACCTTAGCATGAATCAATTGAGCCCTATGGATCCAATTATTGCGGTACAATCATCAAGAATAGGTGGCCACAAGGCATGCTCAACGGATTCTTGAGAAGATATCCATCATGTTAGGGTCCCAAGTGTCGGTTGAAGCACATGATTCTAGAAAATGTTGATTATTTTTATTATTATGCAAATCCCCAGAGGTTTTCAAATGGCTGGTAAGATAAAATTTTCGTCTAAGATTTCTTTTCTAAGTTTCACTCTATTTAGCAATATTTAATTCTTATCATTTAGCAAGTTGCTCCTACAGCTTTGAACAACTAGGAAAACAAAAATTAGCATTTTATCAAGACATAATTCAATTTTATATTATCTAAACATCTAGAAAATCAATTCCAAAAAATCAAAAGATTATTCTTGATAATTTATCAAGATGGTAGCTTTGAAAACTTATTTTTTATGGTCACAACAAAAGTATAAGATGACATTAGCCAGCCGGGGCTGAAAAGAACAGCTTAAGAAATTATTTGCTACAAAACTCTTTTAAAAAACAAGAAAATAAATAAAAATTATATGCTATAATACAATTTGTACCCTTCTGTTTTCTCCTGATGTAAGTACGAAGGGTGGTCATGCGCATAACCTTACCCTTGTCAATTGGATCCATCTCTGATGTTGCAGGATCCTTCACTATTGTCTTCGGTTCCTCCTCTGAAGTCTCTGAAACAACTGAGACATCCTCTACTGGCTCTTTCAAAAAGGGTTCCTTCTCTGGAGTTTTTGAATCATTCAAGACAACCTGTACTGGCTGTTTCAAAAAGGTTTATCTCAGCATGAAGTTCAAGTAATTAGTATACAAATCACATCACATGATACAAAAGAAAAAAGTGTGCCTGCTAAAAGACCTTGCCTCAGGGACTAGCATATGGTACTCCTTTGTGTAAAGAATGTCATAGTGACCAGGTCTAAACAGTAAGGTTATGTAGGGTTCTGCCAGTGGTGAAGCTTCAACCCCAAAGTCAAAATGGTTAAGTCTATGTTTGCTGTCATAGACATACTCTATCCGAATTGGCACACCAAGCGCATCCACAAAAGCAGTGATTTGCACATTGTCAACATCCTTTCCCATTGGTTCCACTTCAACCTCACAAAACTTTTGGACTGTCATGGTGGTATCAGACGAGAGTCCCAGGATGCTTTCCTCAAAGTGATTTGGTCGCGAGCGGATCTCATTAGATGTAACCATTCTCAAAAACCTAATAGCTGGCTAACAAAAACTATTAAATGACATAAGGATATTAAAAAAACCAACTTGTTATGACGTGGTTGAATTAACTAAATAATACTTACCAGGATCAGAGTAGCCATTCTCATTCTTACTCCATTCCAGAAGAACTGAATGGCTGTGTTCAGCAAAATATCAGGTTAAGCAATGCCACAAAAAAATTTTCATTGCATGATTGAAATATAAATTTCTAAATTGATAATAAAGCAAAATACCTTATACTATTTTCTGAAATGGGTGAAACTAATTGCACTATGTTACAAAAGGCCTGAAAAAGATAATGGAGAATATGAAAACACTAGCACGTTAGACATTTTAAAATATTAATTGTCATAATGAGCCACTCGAGCATATTTTATATATTTTGGAACCATCATTAATGGGACTGGATAATAGTATTAGTTGCACAATCATCAGGAAGCTTCTGAGCTTCTAGGATTATGAAAAAGATCTATAATTTCCAAGGAAAAAAATAGTCTCCGGACTAAGAAACAAACTAAAAAAAAATTACAAATAATGACCAAACTAATAAACTTACATCATAATCACTCATGAGGCTCTCTGAAGGTGTCATATTGTCTTGAAGAATCCTGTCCTTCAATTCTGTCATCTTTGCGAAAATACGAACAGCCTCCTCCATGTCTTTCATTAACAAAATGTGCTCCTGTGCCACATCTCATAAAATACTTTGGCTGCTCGAAAGAATAATACCAAACAGCTAACAAAATTAGGGTGTATATTACAAGGTATGCAAATTTAAAGGCTCGAAAGAAACAGTTTCCATCTCCCAAGACGCGTCTGAAAGAAGCGTACTTTTCACGAAGTTCCTGCATGTTTATTAACGTGCTTGAGAACACAAATAAAATCATTTTTTTAAATTTCCCATTAAGTTAAAAATAAAAGGTTTGGTTGAGCAAACCTTTAACTTGTCTTGTAAAAGATGAGATGTTGCCTCTTGCTCTAGATTAAAGAGAGGCTCCTGCAAAACAAACATAGATGACACAAGAAAAACATTACATAAATGATCGAGACAATGGCCATAGTATTTTCACTACTACAGAGTATACCTCAGGGAACTTTATAAAGTACTACACAAACATTCCACAGGCCAAGCAACCTACTCCCTTCCCAATCTTCCCCATTTCATACTAATCAACTTGGGAAACTTGTTCAACTTTTAAGTGAAGTAATTACAGTGGAAAAAATCATATTTTCCCCAAAGAATTTTTGCTAGAAGAGATGCAGGTTCCAGAAAATAAGCCTCTCTCTTCACAGAAAAAAAGATTTGTCTTTAAGCGATAGTTTTCACTGAAAGAATGGCTTGATAGCTTTAGATAGGGAGCACCAAAGGAGAGAATTAATACATGTTGACATCTACACAGAAAGGCAATTAAAGCCTCTGGCATAGCCAGTAGATGAGGTGGTTCTTTTTATAATTCCCTTTCTTGATTAGGTCCCATTCATAATTTTAATGGGGACAACATTATATAAACACCCTTCTCTTAGGTACAATATAGTTTTAAAGAGGTTTGTTTCAGGTTATCTTGATTTTGGGAAGACTTCCCGGTAATTGATGGTAGGGGAATCGAGTTCAGTACTCCGCCAACATCAACATCATGCATGCGCTTGCAATCCTCTTTGGCGACTCCCAACATTGGATAGCAGCAGTAGAGGCAGCTATGGTGAACCACTGGGCTATAACAAGCCCTGGGAACTTGAGGATAGCATCCAAGTAGAGTAGCAGCTGCACTTAAGAGCTGCAGTGCTGAACATAGGCCATCCACAAAACTTTGAAAATCTCAGCTAACAATCCAGAAGGGGTACAAGCAACAATTTCTGAAGTTGGGGAAGTTCAGAAAACCAATCCAAGAAGTCATGAATCATAGAGCTCTCTAGGAAGGCTGACAAGGAGGAGACATTCAGGCTAAAGAAGTTCCTATCAGGTTCTCTGTTATCTTTTCATTCTCTAATCCATTCTAATTCTGGTACACCGATTTTCTTGTTTCCTTGCAGGGGCGGTTGTTGAAGCTAAGTGCTCAAAACCACTATAGATTGTTTTCCTGAAATAGGTTCAAACAGCTATAGCTTGCAAGATAACCTATACTCTCGACTCAAGAAAATCCCTAATCAGGTAGCAACACAAGACAGCGAACATGATCTCTTCTATCAATCAGTTGGAGCTAGGAAATATTCTGCTAAATGCAGAGAGAAGTAGAGGAAGCACTCCATTGCTGTTGCTTGAGCTTTTTTGGCAAGCAAATCAAGGTTGTCACTAAAAGATAGCAGGCTGGGGCATCCAAGAAGTCCAACTACTTGAGAGCAAGATTAGGGGAAACTATCATCCAATGTCAAGGGCAGGACTTTAGGGTTCTCTAATCATTTCTTTTCTTTCCTATGGTATCATTTTCACAAGAATCTTGATCAGTTTTAGTCGCTTAAAAGCATGCTGGGCGATTTCCTTTTATGACCATTCACTGTCACCTGCCATAAAGATGATCGAGCCCCTTGGCTTAATATTTGCTACTTTTATTTACTTATAAAGCTTTCAAGAAAATCATAATAATCTTAAGCATATCAATAAATTAAGATAACTGTTACATGGATTAAAAAGAGTTCCCAATACTATATATGAGAGTAAAAGATAACTAGTTAAGGCATGATTAATACAAAAAAAATATGTTACAGACATGCAAAAGAACCGTCATGCCTGAGTTTGCAAAATCTATGAGCAAAGAGTCCAAGATTAGTGTAATGGATGAAGTCAACTTCATCAATGGGTTTCAAATGAACAAAAAAGATGATAACATTCGTAATGCTTAAAAGTATTGGAAAGGTATAAGACGTTAAATACCTTGAGTTATATATACACATTTGTGCACTTGCACACACACATTCACAATTCCATAAATTTCAACCTAACAAAATGAAGGAGACACAAGCTTTAAGCCGAATATATCGAAGGGAAAGAAAACAGGAGGTTAGAATTTTTAAGGTAAAAGTCAATGTTCCAAGATTTTCTCTATAAATCTACTTTGCATCGACGTATTAGGCTTTGAAACTTCCATTAGGAAAAATAATTTTGACATAAATGAATATTTGGAAGATAATTTTGAATTAAATTGAGTTGAGAAGATAGGAAATTAGGAAATTGAGAAATTGCATTTCATGAACCGTTTACAAACGATGAAGGGTTCAAGGCAATCGTAACAAAAGAGTTTGCTATATTGTTAATAGCAAGTTAGGTAAAATAATTTCTAGTTTAGAAAGAAAATTTTGATATAGCCTTTTTGGTGTAAATTTATATGTAATTAAAGCATTTAAGTTATGTCTAAATATTAAAAAGTGCATGTCTATGCCCTACACTTTATGAATAGTACATGCCACATTAAGTTTAAGAAAAACATGTCAAGAGAATCAAGAATATATTAATATTCATTCAATTTTTTTAACAAGACAACTGAGACTTAAACTACATATTAATGGAACATTGAATAGCCTGTTTAAAATAAATAGTATACATATTAAAATATCCAATAACGAAAATGAAATAAGCTTTAAAAAATCATAGTATATGGGTTAGGTTGACAATGATATGTTTAAAATAACTTATTCTAGAAAAAACGATAACTGAGAGCTCATATAAAAATATAAAGATAAATGAGAGCTCATATGGAAGTAAAAGAGTCCTCAAATTGATATATTCATAATGACCTATACATTAAGGGGACAAAAGTGAAGCCCATATAGAGACAAAAGGGCCCTCAAATTGATATATTTATAAAGAGCTATACAAACTGAGATGAGCCTTTATTGAGTTAAAAAGATTCTCAATATGTACAATTCAAGCTAGATTTTTAATATATGATATGTAGAGTAAGTCAAATATAGCCAACCACCTTATGATTGTCAATGAACCAAGGCCCACATACATGATATTCTAAAATTAAAAGATTTGTCTCTAATATTAACACCTATAAGCTTACTAAGATAATGTAAATTATGAATGATTGTAAACATTTTTTTTATAATTTTCTCACAGATTATTATGCTAGCTATTATTAAAAAAGGGAACTTTATGAAAATTAGAAAATAGACTGGACTAATATATATTTTATTTTAATGTCTTTTGTCAAACTCATGATCAATATATCATATTATTTTAATTCAATAAACGTGTTTTAGAATTATTTATACTGTTAAGCTTTTAAGCTCATAAATGTTATGCTGGTCATTATTTCTAAAAGGGAAGATGAGTTTGATCCTAAGTGAGGGTCGAACTTTGAAAAAATAAATTTATATTTTAATGTACAATTTTGTTATATGATATAAAAATTTTCCACATAAATATGATGAAATTTAGGTGTTATGAAATTGAACTTTAATATTTGTTAGAAACTTTATGATAGAATGAATAGAATATTTTGGAATGTTCCTGTTCAGTTAATTTGTGCTAATCATTACATCCCTGAAGTTATGTTATATGTTAAGCTTATCTAGATAATTGAATTTACTACTCACTCTATTCTGATAGATAAAATTTCAGAATAATTGTTAGTAATAAATTCAATCAACTTAGACATAACAGCCTCTATTATGACTTCTCTTCAAGCAAGATGGGTCATCATGGTGCTTGACAAAATCTTCATTCCTAAAGCCAAGTACAACAGCTACAGCTTAGTTGCCCCAGGAAGCTTAGTTGCCCCAGGAAGCTGCTACTGGGAAACTGTTACTGGGAAGTTGGCTGGTTGTTTATTTTAGCTGATTGAAAACAGCAGTATGACAGCTGTTTCTGGAAAAAAATATTACATCAGTACTACGCACGTAGAAGTAACGTGCGTAGCCAATGAAATCACGCCACGACACCCCGCGCAATAGAGAAAAAAAAACGGCGCAGTAACACAGGGAATATTCTCTCCCACGTTATTGATGTGTTATTCATGTGTTATTGCGTGTTATTGATGTGTTATTGTGTTATTATAACACCAAGAATATTCTCAGGACAAAATAACACATGAATAACAAACAATAACACCTAAATAACACGGGAAATATTCCCGACAGAGAAAAAATGACGCAGTAACACGGGAGAATATTCTTCCCCGTGTTATTCATGTGTTATTGTGTGTTATTCATGTGTTATTCATGTGTTATTCAATTTTATTCATGTGTTATTCATGTGTTATTGTGTTATTATAACACCAGGAATATTCCCAGGACACAATAACACATGAGTAACATACAATAACACATCAATAACGCGGGAGGGAATATTCCCCGTGTTACTGCGCCGTTTTTTTTTTTTCTTTCGCGGGATATCGTGGCGTGATTTCATGCTCCGCACGTTACTCTACGTGCGTTGGACTGATGTTAAATTTTTTCTGATTCTGGACAAATGACCACTCTGCCCCTGTTTATTAATATTGGTTATAACAGAACTGTCACAAAGATATACTTGATACTTCAGAAAGTGAAATTCACTTTAGAATAATACAAATTTAGATGTACACCTCACTTAATAGAGAGTAACAAGAGAGCAAAAAAAAGTCAAAAACTATTAAAATTATAATTACAATAATGATTATATTGTTCTTAACATGTAGACGACATATGTTCGGTGCATCAACAAAGGTTTCATATATTGCTCCAATGCAATCCCACTTGAAGTTGAACGAGTTTTAAAAGAATGTCATACATTTTTAATATTGAATGTAATCAATTATGAAACGTTACCTTAAAGAACGACATGTACCGTGCATCGAATCCAATCTCCGTAGGAGTCCGTTCGAACGAAAGATTAATTGATTTAATAACCTATGAAGATAAACTCACAAGTGTCACCAAACCCACTGAGAAATATCTACTAATCGTTTCGGAGGAGTGTTGAAATCTTTCCATTGCGCCTCACATTAACGCGTTGTGGGATAATATGCAGAGTGTTATCGTTAATACCTCTCGTAGATTCGTCGTCGATGACTCATG